TTGCCCCTTTGTTAAAGATATAATAATCTTTTTGTTTTTCGCGCCGCCCTCGTACGGTTCGTCGCACAACTCTATATTAAACAGTTACTATACTCGCTACAGTGTATGTTCTGATACAGACAGTGCAATAGAAGTCTTTAGTTTTGAATATTGTAATATTGTAAGCCGTAAGGTACGACGATATGGAGACAAGTGAAGAGTTTTTGAATTTTGTGTAAAGGTAAATATTAGGAAAGCTTGTTCTCTTTATAATATGTAATTGAATACAGTCAATTAAAAAATAATATTATTCTGTTTACCTACAATTAACAGCTATGCACAATTATAGTATTTTTTATTTGTTTTATTATATTTGTAATTATTTTCAAATAAATCTCTCCGAGGTCCACAAGTAAGAGATACCTAACGATACCTACTATCGTTTAATTTTCGTTTAAATTACATTATTTAATTATTTTTACTCGACACTATAATTTGTAATCGATAAACAAGGAATCATATTATTACATTAATTTTTATAAAAATTACTGCTTTAAAATTCCTGATTAATCTCATTAGGAAAACATTAAAATACCAATTTGGATACAAACTGTGATTTATTGACTTATAAAATATGATGATTTGATTTCGTTTTTATAGTTTTATCTTCTTTTTATTTAATATAGTAAATTATTAATGTTATAGTATTTAAGATTGCATCTGTAATAAGTATCATTTTAATTATTGCAGTTTTTTCTATTTCTGTAATAAGATCAGTAATAAGAATATAATATATATTTTTATGACAGATTGATGCCACATTGTTTTTCTGTAGTCAAAAAACATAGATAGATTGACTGTTGATGCCTTTTGAATAGATGCATACCAGTTACTACAATATCCCACATTCATAAATACATTTTTATTAACACTCATAAACAACAACCTCAACTCAACAAATAAAATACAGATTCCATTTCAGTATAAAAACCCTATTATGATGAATAGTAAATCGTTTTAATTGTTTGTACACAAAACGTATGACAAAGCACGTTGTTGTACTATTTAAGGATGAAAATCATTTTTCTTTTTTCACCAACAATTCGAATTTCACGTATCTTTGCTAAATACCTACGGGTAACAATGACACAATATTTTAACCAACTTGTTCTTTTTACGCATTATTCATTTAAGAAACGTCTATATTTATACCTATGCTTACTACACTATAAATAAAATAATTTATATATAATATATGTCATTGTGTTACCTCTGGGTCTCTTTTATTTTTCCCTAATAACCGAGTTTTTGACGGGAAGTTCTGGGAATTTACCGAGCAAATATGTTGTCGTCGAGAACATTTCTGGAGTCTTTTCGATTATTCTAGAAACGCGATTAATTTCTAAAAAATATATGTAGAACAATGTAACATAAGTTTAATAGATGAAACTACACTACACACAATGTTTTACCGGTTATCTTAAAATAATTTGAAAGAAATTTAATCATAAATCATTTGTTTTAGTGTACCTTTTTAAAATTAATTATATTATGCCTAGTATATACTATATTTTTTAGTAATATGTTTGCTATTAAACGACCAGAAATCTTATAAAATCTGTACTTTAATGGGTCCAAAATGTATACAATTCTCACTTAATATCCCAAAAATGGAAACCCTTCTTACAAAAAAAACTTTCAGATTTGACACGCTGTATAAAATAGTATGATAAAGTCAACGTTATTTTTTCTGACAATTAGTTTTAGGCATGCCTTTTTTGTGCAAAATTTTAATCGGCGGCTCATATTTCAAAGTTTGATCTTATGAATTGTAAGACGGGTGTCTGAAAGACAGTTATTGTATTGATATAATGTCTAGAAAATGTTTCGTGGTTTTTTTCTTTTTAATTTTGCTTATCACACATTACAAGTTCTTCAATAAATTATTATGTATGAAAGCAAGTAGAAATAACTCCATACCCGCCAGCCCGCGTCTCTATATTGACGACGTTTAATAATACCAATACACTGTGTATTATCTATTATACATATAGCTGTTAATAATGACAATAAACTGTATTTCAACATCATTGGCTGTTCTGTTACCAATAGTAGGTATCTATAATATGTATAAAGGCACCGTGACCGAATATACCAAACAATAGAAACAGTATGATATGGTATAAGAACAATTATTATTGGAACGAATTAGACATGCTGGGGGGGGGCCAACGTACAAGTCCATAATGATATTAACATCCCACCATCGTCGCAACACAAAAGGTTAAATTATTTTTTTATATTCATATATTGTTCGTATACACGCGTTGTATAAATATATTTTTTAAAAATCTAATTGACACGCAACTCGTCCAATGGAAACGGCTGGCGACAATAAACGCCTGTTGTTTATGTGACGCCTCCCGTGCCCACATCAACCCTCCGGCACGCGTTAGGCCATTGGAGAGGGCGGAGTTAACACACCCTCACACACAGTTCACTATACGGCTTTGCACTGTTTGTACTTTGTACATTATATTAAAAAAAAACAAACAAAAAAAACACTGAAAAAATTGCCTATTATTTAATAATCCCATTTACAAAATGTGTCTGTACAACTGTCTACTAGAATGTAATCTTCACAAACCTTGTACAGACCAAGTGTTTTGATGTATTTTTACAACCCTCCCAAAATATGTTCGTGTTTGGCCAGAAGAGCAAAAGCTCACAATGTATAATAAGATATCCGACTCGTTGGACGGACAAAGATTGTGCAAACGGTCGGCTAGATTGAAATTTGTTTTGTGGTAGTAAAAAGATACGAATATTGGCAGTAATTATAGCGGAATGGCTCGCAGAGACAAAAAAAATCCTCAATTCACCTATCATTAAAGTATATTGTAATATATTTTTATTTAGAACTGATAAAATACAATAAAATATCTTTAATCAATGAGTTCATAAAAAATGTATTAAAAAAATTAAGAATATTCAGCATTTAAACGTTGGTAGGTTTAAATTTATGTATGAAAATTTTTGTTTTAGTAAAACCAATCGTGTAGATTCAGATTGAATTTTTAATCCTCAGCATAATTGTTTTCGTTAATTTTTATATTATTCAATTTTAAAATTATAATCATAAATATAGCTTTAAGAGCATTGTTTCCTAAATGATAGCTTGTAACTCTTACAATTAGTATAATATTATAATTTGTAACAGGGATTATTTGTTGATATATAATAAATTGTTATAATCTTAACGTTTTTCGAAAAAAACTTATTGTTTTTTAAGTACAGATTTACCTAAAATTGACATTGAAAAATTAGAGCGTAGTCATGAATCATTGATATATTATGGTATATGAGTAGCGCGCAGACTACTGAATATAATTAACCCTCGTTATTTTCGGGTAAAAGGGAACTTATTATCAATTTTAGAGAATACAAAATGTCTTACATCTGTAGTTGACGGATCTTTAAAATCGTATTAAGTAGTAAGTATTTTTTTGTGAAACATAAAACCATCATAATTTAATAAAAAAATCGGGAATCATTACTCTATGAATTTGATAATGGATATTTTTTGGTCTAGAACTATGATGGGCCTAACAAAGCGGGTTCTGCGTAGATGCGTTTAAGTTAGAAAAACATGTTTAAAACAATGTTACGGCCCTCGGGATAGTCTGATTAAAAATGAATTATCAATAAAAACATCCTCGCTGCTGTACTAATAAATATACGCTTTAAATTTAGCCAAAAACTTTGATTTGGCGAACAATTTCCTGTACCGAAACCCTTAGTTAACATAGAAGTATAGCGTCCTCGGTTCTCTTAACACTTAAGAGATGCACGCCTGCCAAATGTTTCGACTTAATTAAGGGGTTAAGTGAAGGTAATTTTGATCAAAATCTATTTTACACATAAAATTACTTGAGCGTGTAGGTTTATTATTACAATGATGAGTAATCTTAGGAGGAATTATAACTTTCTACTCGATTACCTATTTCGCTATTTTTCTTCATAATATTATTGGTCAGCTATTAACCGTTTTATTTCGCCTGTAGTGATCACAGAGTCTTACAATATTGGGTAAGTTTTTCGTTAAAGCAATAATTAAAAACAGAGTCTGTTGTTAGCGCTGATGTGATGATGGTGACATTGCCGGTTAAGGGTTTTTTTTTTAAATTAAATATTTCATTTATTTTTTTACAATATAATATTATAACCACAAGACGTGTCGCTAAAAGTTTTTTTTTTTGAGTTAATAAAAAAGTAAGTTCAACAGAGCAATATCAACAAAACGACCGACGACATACGTTCTTGACAGTTAAAGAATTAGCTATACGTCCACACGTTTAAAAACACGACCCGTGAAAGTGCCACAAACTCGAGCGGCGGACGGACCGTGCCACAAGACGTGTCCGTCGAGCGCGCGAGGACATCCCTTGACGGCAAGCGCCGGGACGACTGCGGTGTCCGCGGCGGCCGTGTGGGCGGCGATTACGGGGATACCCCCGACGGACCTCGCGATCTCCGTGCGTGCGTGTACGGCCGCCGACCGCCGCGACAAGACCGTGCCGCCCGGCAGTATGTCACAGCCCGTTGACATCGCCGCCGGTGTCGAACCGGTGTGAGTGTGCGTGCGTGTGTGTGTGTGTGAGTATGTGTGTGTGTGTGTGCGTGTGTGCGTGCGTTATGCTTCGCGCGCGCGCGCCTAATAATGTCCACGCGACTGTGACTGTACGGAGGCGGCGGAGGGGAGTCGCGCGATACATGAATGAACCCCGTCGCCTTAGGCCGGTCCTACCGATCCTTCCAACAGGTCGCCATTGGTCAATCGGCGACCGGGTGGAAAACCCACAACCCGCGCCCGGGTGGGGGGTCCGGCGGGCCGCCCTTACGCGGCGGCGCTGCTGCCGTCGCTCCTGCTCCTGTCGTCCGTCGCCTCCGCCGCCCGGTCCACACCGCTGCGACTTAAATGTCCACCGGAGTCAGGTGGCTATCTCAGTTGATCGTTTTTGGTCGACGGTATACCGCGGCGGTCATCACCACCTCGCACAGTCACATAAATACACATACACACACACCCACACACACAATCACCCGTCGATACGTATATATAAGTGCGCACGCGTGCGATACGTGATTGTTTTTATTTAATTTTGAAAAAGCTAATATTAATATTTATATTTTTTTCCACACATATATTTTTTGACTATCTACCGAGTGTTTTTTGTTCGCATTTTACCATATAATAAAAAAAAACTTCGCCGAGTGTTGTCGACGGGACTCGATCATAATTTTTTTGTGTTAAGTGTCGCTCGGTGTATCGAAAAGCGCGAGGTTTTTTTATTTTTGAGTATTTTCAAAGCGCTTAAGGACAAATCGTCGCTTTCCTTGTTTTGTTTGTCGGTTTTTTTGGGTTTCGATCCGATAATGGACACATACGAAACGGTGTGCGTCGACTGCCAACGTGAACACTGTCGACGGAAATCCGAACCGGAGGTCCGTAGTCGTCGACGTTTCAGACCGGCCTACGACCGTCGACGCGTGTGCTCTAGCACTCTTTTCATCGGTGAGTTTTTCGAATTCTATACCTAAGAATGGCAATAGGGCTTTGCCGAGTGTTGGCCAAGAATCAAAAAGGCCTAAGTAACCGCGTTATTTTAACTGTGCACAAAACGGTTTTTTTAACGTCCTTGGTAAAAAAAAAAAAGATTTTAATTTAAAATCCAAAACGATACCGATTCGATAACGACACGTTAGCGTTTTCTTTATCATTAATAATATAATCGTATATACTAGAACGTTATACTTATATATATATATATATATATAATATATTATAGTACTCATAATGCCACTACTATATTTTATTATTATTATTTATTATATTATACATATTATTCTTCGATAATTTGTTTTGTCTGCGACGTGTCACCGCCGACCGTGTGAACAAAATGATTGTAATATTTTATGTTAATACACTATTCGGTCGATGGTTTTGGACGGGTCGAAGATTAGGGTCTCATTGACGATTTTACCGGGCTATAGTCGGAGTAGATTTTTTTTCTTCATATATATATCATTCTCATATTGTTGGAAAAATTACACTCTATTGCGCTCAAACGACAAACGATAGGCGAAATTAGTCAGCAACATATTAACATTGGACATTCTAAACGGCTGGTGTTACTATCGTTCATGCCGTGTAGGACCCGGTCACCACAACCGCGTGCGATATTAATTCAATGATAATAATAACACTAATTATAGTTATATATATATATATATGCGTAACAAACTAGAAGAACTATCATAAGGATATATAACAAATATTCTAATCGACGAGGCTGCGACGGTGGTAATAGCAGACGTGATCGCGACCTGGATGAGTCACGGGCCGTTTCCGGATGACGATTTCCGAAATCAACGCGGTTTTTTGCCCAAACGGATATCTCGTTTCTCTCCCAAGGAGTTTGTGTTGTTTTGTATACAATATAGTCAGTACACAAATATCCCGCGTATTTCGGTTCGGTTAAACTCGACCGGTATTTACAAATCCGGTGATATTATCAAACGAATCAACTGTATAATTGTTCGTATGTTCAAAATTAACAATAATAATCGCATTTACTATTATTGGGGCTGTATTCCTATACCTGTTGCTTGCGTTGGTCACGTTTAAGAGGGGGTGGGGGGGGGTTAATTCCATAATATGTTTTATATATATATAATATATATGTACCAAAGCGCGGTAAATTATAAATTCCCACCGTATTCCCACATATAATAATATGATAGCGACAAAAAAAAAATGTTGTAAAATCTCCGGTTTACCGCGAATTTTTTTCTAATTGTTCGGCAAGCTTTTGCAAAAAAAAACAATTTTTAAAAAGAAAAAAAAAACGGGAAAAATGTAAAGAATACACAATCGGCCCAGACCGCGTGTTGTGTGTCATGTAAAACGCGCTGTCGTCGTCGCTCGTGTGTGTGGTCCTCGCGACAAACAATACCACACACAATAATAATTAGCCAGTAATGTGCCCCGTGAGAGAGCCAGCCGATGCCGCCGTCGCTATTCCGTATACATGATTATTATTAACCCCCTCCCCTCGATATTTCCCCTCCAATACGGCTGTGCGTAAGTACGTATGTACCGCAGAGTTAAAATAATATACTCTTGTAGTCTGTGTGTGTGTGTGTGTGTATTCCACAACAAAATATATATATATATATATAAAAAAAATACTACTGCTACCATTACAGATCATACACTACTAGTCGCAACTATATAGATCACTAATTGGGGGTGCCGGCCGACATACCACGCAAAAAAAAAAATCAGTATAAAGAAATTGAAGGGAATAAAAAAGAAAAAAAAAATCGTGAGACATCATGAGTAAATAACGCCGCCACCGCCGTCGTAGGTATGTGACCGGGTATGTGCTCGGCCGATCTTTCGTTGTCTGTATACATATAGATATATATTGAGTACATTACACAACTATATAGGATGTGGATATATAGGTACTAATGATAATTATTATATCGACACTCGGACCACATGACATTTACAATAAAGTACTAGCAATGGTTGAAAAACCAATATCAAGCGCGTCGTACCTTCGAATCTATTCCGCAAAGGTCGAGATGGTGCTGGTTCAGGTGGTGCCCTTGGTTGAAGCACTCAAATATGTATGTCGTTGCCTCCGTCTAAAGTTGAAAGTTTCTTATCGTACGTGCCCGAAGTTCGGGGAAATGTTTTAATTCAATACATCAAAAGAATAAGGAAAATAAATTAGGTATTGTTGAAATGAGAATGGATTGAGATGATTCGGGCATGTAATGAAAATAAAAATTTAAATAGCAAAAAAGCTGGTATAGTGTAAATAAGAATAAGAGTTAAAGACGTTCGAGCCAATGTGCTTTTTGAAAATGTATAATACCAAAATTATATAATGTTATAAACATATGTATGATTTTTTCCCTGCAGCTGGTTCGTTTGTCATTGGCTTGATAATGATGCCCTGTGCAATGTCCGCCCCCGTGCCACTGACGTCTCAATCGCAGTCTCAACTGCATCTGTCGACCGCCTCGGCTACCACAGACGACGCGGCGACTCAACCGACGGGCACGCCGTTCTGGTTCAACCCTTGCGGCATGCAAATGATGATGGAAGACACGACGGCCACACCCTGCCCACCCGGCGTCAACTGCAACGGCGGCGGCGGTTCCGGCGCAATGGCCGGCAGTGGCGGTGGCAGTGGCCACGAAATGATGGACTCAGAACCGCGAAGGCTGGTGGACGTCATCGAAGGCGTCACCGTGTCCGCCAGCAACGCTCTCATGCACGCCGAACAGTTTGCCGGATCATTCGTGAGTACACTCTTGATCTATTGGATAAATCTATTGATGTACAATAGTATATATATAATGAAATCATTTTAAAGTATAGAAAAATGTGGAGCACATAATTTTAAGTATTTTAATGGATATTCGACTTTTTTATATTTTTTCTATGCTTTTACGACGGTACAAAAATAGGGTATTTGCGCCAACTCTGCTTTCTATATCAGTTTACAACTTTGTTTTTATAGTAATTTAAGTAGGGAAAAAAAGAAGGATTTTATATCGCTCATGTAGAAAAAATAGCTGGGGGGCTTCACGTTGATAAATGTTAACTTAACCACAATAATGACGACTTAAACCCCATATTTGTGGAATAAAATTAAACTATCAAATTTCTGCCCCTCTATAGTCTGAGTAAATCGTGCCCCTTAACAACATATCTAATTAAATTCGATCAGTATACTATTTATAGAGCTGTAAAGATCCCGGTATTTAATGTGAGATATAATCAGAACATAAAACTGTCAAGAGGCGAACTACTAAAAATCCGTTTTTACGCGTTTAGATCCGTATATTGGGTGTATAAGCGCGCTTAAATAACACAATACAATAATTCCGTATATTATTACATACAATATATTGTGTGTTTTAAGGCGGCGCGGCGGGTTCCATGAATAGGTGCTATAACAAGGCGTTTGATGAGTATTTGAAAAGAACCGTTTGACCGACGATAATTTTTAATATTGACACAATAATAATAGTTATATAATATTGTATTAAGTGCGTGTATAATGCGATTACCATGATTATTGTTATTATGAATCACAAACCGCGTAAGGGCACGTGCTCTACACTAAAGGGGGGAGGGGGAAGGGCACAATGCGATCAGGATGAATGATACTTACACACTGCACGCTGTTGTTGTTGGTCCTATGCGATTCGAAACGGCCGTCAGCGCAGCACAATCGCCGCCGCAGGTCGAGGTTTAAACCCGAGTAGTCGCATGGGCATAGTTAAAGTAATATAATAAGCTATTTTTTGGAATAGCGTCACAAAAAATTTGCCGGGCAAAATTATAAGGCCTGCGGTGTACAATGGGTGGACGGGTATAGTGAATGGAGACGACGATGAATGGTCATTTCTTTTTTTTCTGAAGGGGTTTGACTTGCTCTTATGCGGTACTAAACGTCGCCGGGATTACCGCTACATACAGTGTGCGGACGTTAAAGTCTCCGAAACGGACATTATAGTAATAATATGTAATCGTATGGCCCGACACTCGGCACTATTCCCACGGCGTTTGTGTACACAGTCCGACCGGCGTCGTTTTTTGAAAAACTAATATACCTCTATACTTGCAAAAGGCAAATTGTGTGTGCGTTTCGCAGCTATATAAAAAAAAAAATCCGAAATCCACATCCGCCGTTCGTATAGAGCAATAGTGTTATAGTAAAAGCTGATTATGGATTTGTACGCGTTCCTCCCGCATGATTGTATAACATAGTATACTAGATGTGTATAGCTGCAGTTGTTGACGCACTTCTAAGACGTCATAATAGTGCGTACGGACTAGTCCTCTGACGATAAATCCAATAAGACGAATGGCCTGTACATTCGTAACACAATATCCGATATGTACCAAAACTATTACATTAAATGTTATACATATATATATATATATATACAGTCGATAACAATATTATAACGTCGGCGGAATTTATGCCTATAATATAATGTGGCATATATATGTATACCTACGGTTTATCCGTCAGGTGCGAAACGATTGCGTAAACGGTCGGCTCGCACCGAACGATTTGCCTTAATTTTTCTCTCTATTGTTTTTATTTGTTTATTATCACATACCCACGTTAATATTTACTGCGATATTATAGAGTCGAAATCATTTTCCTGGATGATTAAAAGAGCAATATATACTTATATATATTTATATAAGATATTAATTTCCTTTATAATTCAATAATTACTATGGCAATTTTCGCAAACAAAAACACACTTTCGCATTTATGTAGTACTAATTGTGTGTATACATACAAAAACCACAATTTATTTGATAAAAAAAAAGTGTTCATTGTGATGTATTGACTTAAAAAAAATATGTCATCGTTATATTAATTTGGTATAAATAGGAATATAATATAATCATAGTAGTTAAAAAAGTGTGTGGCGTTTTGAAATTTCAATTGATATTATTTGAAATGGTATTATTTTTTATTTGAATACAGAAGGGGGAAAAGTGTTAAGTAAAAAACATTTATACGAAAAACTGCGGTCATTCTAACCTATAAAAAAATAACGATTGTACACTGGCCTAACCGCTCTATATAATAATACATTATACACACATCATAATATAATGTGTGACTTAGAATTCCTTTGGTGGCCGTATCGATCTTTGGCGACAAACAACAACACTCACGTGGTACACGCGCGATAGCAACCACCAATTTGGCAAATCTGTGACCCGGTTTAAGTTCCCAGAACCTATACCCCGTATACACACAGCTGTGCCCAATCATAATATTATTGTAATTAAAATCTGTACGCTATTCCACCGGCGAAGGACTTATAGGAAAAGTCCCCTCTCCGAGGTAACGTGTTCCAAAGGAGATGAGATCTCATGTTGTTACTCGATTTTTATTTTAAACTTCAACGGCCGCAGACGCCAATGTAAAGTAGGTATTTCATAAATTTACATATAATTTTTAAAAAAAATAATTTAGAAAAAAAAACATTTTTGAATATCACCATATTTATTTTTACAAGATAAAAATTCGATCTCCCAAAATGTTTACAAATAAAATACTTGTACTCTTTTCGTTTACATCACTTTATTTAATTATTGTTAAAATTATAAAGCATTAAAGTGGTGTTAATTGTCATTTGTTAGCCTAAAAAGTCTGAACATTTTCTTCTAATCCTACTTATATAGTTGATTGATTATATATTGTATACTCTGTTCACTATAGTCGTTCTACGGCGAATTTTCGACATGGCTTCGTTTTTATTGTTTAAGCATAAAAATATGGCCATTTTTCTGTTTACAATTATTATCATTATTATTATTGTCCTTATATTCTAAGTAAAGCGTACTGCGTGTTACACGGTTCGGACTTGGTTTATATAATATTATTATTGCGCGCAAATTCTGTGACCCACAAGGACCTACATATATATATATATATACACAATAATAATTGCCTACTACGCCGATACTATTATATTATGTGTTATACGTATTATGTCATTCGCACAAATCATAAGAAAGAAAGTAGTAAAATCGTTATTATAAATAGTTTTTTATAGGTGGAATACAGTACTATTGTATTACATTTTGTTAATTGGGCAAGTGTTAAATGTAATTTAAAACAAATTAAAATTAATATAGGTAGATTCGATTTAATTTACTTACCCAAATAGTTTTTTTATTTAAATAAAAACTAAAATTGAAAAATAATTAAACGTTCAAATCGAATAACAATGTATAGCATAATATTTTGTTGTAATCGTAACAACATCAACGAGTATATTATTAATAATTAGTGTATTACAAATAAAACTAAATAATGTTATAGTTTTACAATCGTTATAATATTAAACACAATTTATCGAGATAATAAAATAAAATATGTACAATTAAAAACAAGCGGAGAAGCAAAATATAATAAAACACAGAATACCTATATATATATATATATATATACATAATACCTCTTATCAACCAATGTCCATCTTTAATTACAATACAAAAATGACAATGTATAATATTATATGTGTATATAATACGGTTGGTTTTTTTTTTTGCTCCGGTATGTGATTTGCACATACATTTATTATAATATTATTATTCGTACTTAATAAACCGCATGCGGTAAAAGCGCGTACTCCGACGATGTCTAGCGGTCGCCGAGAAGTAAGACGAGAATGAGTTGAAAAAATATGTATAAAAAAAAATAATAAAAAGGTAAAAAATGTCACATGATAAAACAACAATGCGGCGACGAAATAATAAATGACCATTTAGATAAGCGCGGCCGTTATCCGCAGTTCTCACAGATGCCGAGCGAGCTCGTCTCGCGTAAACCGAGTAGTGATTGCCACCACAGCAGCAATTACGCCCACGCGTTATTATCACATTTGTTTTGTACTTAACAGGTAGCACTAATATAAGAATGCATCATTTTTTTTTTTTATCTTCTTCCGGCACCGCTCGTTTGAACGGCGGCCGCCCGTGATCGCGTTACCCGCCGTCATACAAATATCTAATCGTTATGAAAAAACACACTATACATATAGGCACTGCGCTTAAGTATATGCATTAATTATAATATTTTTTGATCTGATATGTACATTTTTTTTGTACCGGGTGCATACTCATTTTGCGAAATTCAATATAATATTTTTCAAACGATACATAACGATATTTATTATTTGTATGCTTGCGATTTCCAGTAATGAAATTTGATTGTTACTAGGAACAAGAATTTTGGAACTGGCGGGATGTTCTCAATATATTACATAATGTTTTCCACGCACTTAAAATCAGGCATAGGGAAGAGGAGGAGGGGGAGTAGGGTAGCGTGGGTACAACAGGCATGTGTGCACAATTGGGAATATTTTCGTTAGTTTATTTATATTGTTGTGTTATGTACGAGACCTCGTCGCAGTTCGTTCGGTAGACTGCTTGTCGCCGCCCATTGGCGCTTTTTCAGCGAAACCCGCAAGGCCTCGCCTTGTACCATTCATTAGAGTAGCTATAATACAGCCGGCTTCTGTCGCGCGGGTGGCAATGTGCGATAACACAAGACAAGTGGTCAGGGGAGGTGTGTGTAGGAGGAGAGGGCAGGGACACCGGGGAAAACACGGCGTCGGGTCACTTTTTATTTTATTTTTTTGGTTTTCCGTTTCCACGAAAACCGTCCGAAGAATTCGCTTACGGGTCGCTTCTTTGCCCGGTCGAGTCTTATCAGCCGTCGGTAACCGGATACCGGCATTTAAAAAAAAAATCAAAATTGTCTAATTCTCAACACAACTGCATACAAGATGTGCGTAGGGCATCAGTAGACTTGCGCACGAACCAACGCCGACAGACCACTAGACGCCCATTATTAAGTATATATAAGGAATAAAATCATACACAAGACGTGTATCGAAATCCCTTTTCGTCGGCGGTCACGCGCGCGCAAAGGTTGTTTTTTGTAATAAAATACATAAAATATTATCGCGTGTAGGTATATATAATATCAGTGAAAATACAGTTGTTTTTTTTTTTTACCTATAAATCAGTTACATAACATTTAAAATGTCGGCGGCGCGTGCGGCTTCATGACAAATCAATTTCAAAAAAATAAAACAATAATAATTTACACTAAGGCCGCGCATAATCAAAACGCGCACACTCTTCAGTATATAGGTTATACCCAAATACAATGTTTTCGATTAAAACATTATTATAATTAAACGTGTTCTCGACGAAGAGCGGTAAACCTAAGTTTCAAGACTTAAGTTTGACTTTAAGTTCAAAGCTGTTCATTACACCGGCCCGCTATAGTCGAACGTTTTTGGAACACACTGTACAAAAAGGCTCGTCAAGAAGATAAATTGTCAAAGAATTACATTCCACGGTCGTCACGGTACATCCCGTATAACCAGTTAGGACTTGGGAATACTGTAAAACTCGTAATGTATGTATTTTGTCGAGTAATGGATTTTTGTATTATTATAAACAAACCGATCGATATATTTCGTTGTGCTTACAACGTTGATCTTTATACACATACTGTGCTCCCAATTGATATTTTATTTCACACAGTAAAACATGTCAAAGTAATCTCAACGCCAATATAGCCAATTACTATACACATCATGTATATGTGTATTTATGTATGTATATGTATAATATGTATATTATTTATACTAGCACACGTTTCAATATTATTATCTGCCGGTCATCGTAAAATGACAAAGTACAAAGCGGCAATGCTTTAAGTGAAAAATAATAACACCAGTCATTAGTTTTAAAAATAAAACAGAATAGTTATGGTAAACGCTAACCTATCATAAAAACAAACAAAAAACTTTCTTTGATCTATTCGAAACTGACGATTTAGGGTATTGTTATGCGGCATTACATTATTATAAACACACAATATTAATTGTTGTCGCAGTATTTTTTTTTTTTTTATGGATTTTTTATGAGACGTCACCTGTACGATTATTATGCTGTGAGGACTAGCCGCGTCGTCGCCAATGCGTGCCACCAATATAATTGTTTTAAAAAACGCTAAATAGTAACTTTTCATCTTCAAAATTCCATAAAGGTCCATAATTTCAAGCAGTCTCCTCCTTCTACTCTGGTGGTTACGGACTTCAGCACTTTATTACTCAGTTTTCCTATCTTCTTTTTAAAATTTGATTTGTCTTTACACGCCACGACGGTCAATCGCAGCTTAATCTCGGTCCTTAGAGAGTCCCGAATGTACTATTTTCTCTATGTAGATCATTTCCAAATCATTATTGACCTTGTTCCGGTAGAGTTGCTTCGTGTTAAACCGTCTTGACTTGGATAACTTGGATTGACGTACAACATAAAAATATTAAATTATTCGCGCGTTTGGATACAACAAACAAATAGGTTTGTAATTATTTTTTTATCAGAACTCGCCTCACCCGTCACCTATGCTGTTTGTACGCGGTCCTTCCGTATCTGAATTCCGTTTAGATCCGCAGTTTTTTTTTTTTTAATAACGGGATCGCTATCGTCACCGGCGCCGTCGAAGACCGTGAGAGAAAGCTCTAAATGCGCTGATGACTTCATATAATGTACATAATATATATTATTATAGTGGTAATAATTTATCGTTATACGGGCGACCCACGGAGGCGACGGACGAGCGGCGGGGGAGGAAATTGTGTGAAAGAGAGAGGGAACGAGTATATTGTTGTTTACAAAATTGAAAGAAAAAAAACAAAAACAAAAAAATTCTACACACGTAGAAGCCCGCGAAAAGTGTCGACTCGTCGTTTACGGACGGACTGCGCCGGTTCCCAACGTTGGATTTTTTTTTTTTTTTGGGCACTGTAGGCGCGTTTGTAAAACATTACGCTCCACACATACAGCTACAATACACAAAATAATAATATTATAAATAACTTATTATGTAAATATGTGACCATATTGTATATTGTGTTGAGCTGCCAAGGGACTGCCGCACGATTCGATTCGTAAGCAAACGACGGCCGTTTTATATTATTTTCGTTTTTAACTAATAATAATTTGGAACGAGACAGTGTTTATAGATTTTTTTTTTTGTTAATCTCATGAACTCTGGATTTAAATCTACGGCCTAACCGCAGCCGGCGCACTTATTAGATCATGACAATATTATGTTATGTTATTATATCGCGGTACACCGCCCGCCGAGGCGCCCTTTAATCTCGTCTAATCGGCCGACGTCTGTGCTGTGCTGTGCCAAAACCGCAAAAACAATAACAATATAACGATATGACTGCGAAAATAAAATAATATTGAAAACCGAGTAGCCCGCACAACCCTTCAATTTCGTTTACCGGCCATTAGCCGTTTTGTTACCGATGCCGGCACCGCCCTCCGCTTCAAATTGACCGTAAAGCGCGCTCGTTAACACGGTCGCAGCTATATAATAATAAATATTAAGGTTAAAAAAAAAAAAAAAAAAATGATGTTTACCCGGACTAACAATATTGTGTGCGAAACAATGATATAATAACCACCGTGTTGATGTATGTGTTGCAGGTCAGCGATACGTTCCACGTGGACGTCAAACAGCACCACGACGTGTGGAAAGACACGGCGCTCATGTGGTTACAACAGGCCGAGTACATGCCCAAGGAGTTGGACGAACCGCTGGACGAGTCGTACCTGAGTAGTCTGACCATCAAGGACGTGTTACACGCCGTCAACGTGGGCTTGCAACACTTGGCCGTCGGTCTGGAACAGGTGTCCTGGGACCAGGACAGGGACCGGCAGCCATTCTCCAAGGATTTCAAGGAAGCCACGTTCAAACTCCGAGCCGTAAGTACATAGCTTGGCGCTCAATTTGTTTCTAAAATCTAACGCATGCATGTAGAGTCCATATCAAATAGTTAATTAATATAGGACAACAAAATATTAATATTTTCGAAAAAAACATTTTTTTAAACGGTTTTTTGACGCGAAATTGTTAAAAACATTTTCGCGATATTTGTTAAGTATTTGTTTTATATTTTGCCGTCTAAAATTCTTAAATAGCGTTCTTTCATTGCCGAATTATTTCGTTACAAAAATAAAAAACTCGGCGTTGTTTCTGAGCTCTAGCAACAACAGTTTTAGTCTTTGACTTCCAATATATTATTTTGTCCACAATGCGTAGATGACTTAACGCCGTCGTGCACTATGCTGTCGATATGGGTTATTTTTATTTTTTTTTTTAGATTAATTTCAAAAAGCACGGTGTTAATGTTTGCTTTGTTGCCCGCAGGTGCTCTGCGAGATATCGGTGGCTTTGATCGAGATAAACGAGACTGTGCCCGCGCCCGTGTCCCGGGACATCATGCCGGTCGAGTCCAGGATATCGACGGACAACAGGTCGCTCAGGGATTGGCTGATACTGCGGGAGTACATCACCAGCCTGCAGTACATCATCCAGGTTTTTGAGTTTCTCAAGTCAAAAAAATAATACATCCCGGCTCCTAGCAGGCGAACAGGAGCAACACCATCGACTATAACGTTATACCACCGCCTCAACAACAGCCACTGGCACCGCCGCCACCGCCGTATACAACCGCTAATGCTTATCAATGGCGGCGCGCACTAGTGGCTTAAGTCATCGATAACCACCGCAGCCACTTTTGGGCCTCCCACTATTATTTATTGAACTTTTTTTTTTTTTAGCGTCGGCTAATATAATAGTATTATTACGGCTAATTATCATTATTATTATTATTATTATTATCAATAATCGCGCATATTATTATTATATATTATATAGTTGTTCGGAGTATTTATTAAGTTTTCGCATCTCGTCGTCGTCGTTTTTTTATCGTTGAACATTTTTTTTTTGTACATACAAACTCATAAATAGTACACACGTTTTAGTTACAATATATATTTTATAACGATTTATTTATTTCTTATTATACCATCATTATTTTGGTTTGCCGCTTGCCCGTGACCAGACTGTTATACACGTTCTATATGTTTATCGAATTGTTTTTTTTTTATTTTTTGCTCGTAACGTTATATCAAAATATTATTATTACTATTATCAATAATATTCTAGTTTGTTTATATCTACATAAGTCATCGTCTAGTTATAACTTATAAGTATTTTTTTCGTTTTAATCTAATCCGATATAATCTTGTATTGTATACGAGATTCGACGTTATATTTTTATTTCTCATTTTATTTTCTATCTTTTCCCCTCTCTCTTTCTCTTTCCCTCTCTATTTCTCACTCTACATTTCTCTATCGTCACACACACTTGGAGCATTTGTTTTGTGTGTAAATACTACTTATACTTTATTTATTGTATCCATTGATACCCTTCGAATGCGTTTGTTGTTAGACGTATTTTTGTAAGTATTGTCTGTGATATTTTAATTGCCTATTATACATATAATATTATTATACTATTATTTATTATTATTATTATCATTATTATTATTATTATTATTATTATTATTATTACATTATTACTATTATTATTATTATATTATTATTATCATTACTATTGCATCAAATGTGTACTTAAATCAGTGTTGTTATAACGATAAATTATTATTCTTATTATAATTATTATTATATTATTACTATTATAAAAATATACGAAATATCCGAATATAATATTATATTTACCGTGTGAGACGTTTATATATTTTTTTTTTCTGATCTCGGTGTAGGGATTATACGTACCTATGGGTCTGAAGTGAAAGCGGATAACGTCTAGGCTATAGAAACCAAATAATATTATTGTCCGCCCTCTTTCCTGCGAGACTTAAAATATTATACAGTTGTTCTCCTCCTCGAAAACATCAAGAGCGTCTGAACTAATCCGCACCCTCGTGGTCAATACCATAAATGATCGGTGTTATTAAAATATATCAACCACGTCGTTGCAAAAAAAAAACAAAAACAATAAATAACAAATACAATAAAAATATCTATAACTATTGGCCGGGGGGGGGGGGGTGAATGGCAAGGTAAAACCTATACACACACACACACAGTCCGTTGTCGACTAAACGGAACTAATTAGTTGTTGTGCCGACCAGTCGTTGTCGTCGTTTACTGTTCATTGTCTTATTATGCGACCGACTGCTTGTAAATTGCCACTTAACCCGTAATTTACACTCGTGTTCGCGTCAAGAACACGCATAATAATATATAATAATAATAATAATAATATTGGCGACCACCACCGCAAAACGTAAAAATAAATATATATATATATATATTTATTTGTACTATATATATATATAATCTAAGTTCTAACGCTTTTTATTAGTGCATTTTTTTTTTTTAAGTCAACGTGTCCCGGGACTTGTTTATAACAATATTATTGCCTACTATGTTAATATGCAGGTATACCTACTTGTCGGCCGGCGTGGCGCGCAAAGTGGTTGTATGTTTTTTTGTTCGTTGAAATGTTTAGTAGAACAAAAAATAAATAAATAAAAAATATGGCGGTAAAAATAAAAAATCAAAAAGAAGCCGGCGGATACGTGACCGTGAAAACGGGATAATACCGAAACGCCGGCGAACTCGTCCTGTTTCCTCTAGAAGACCGGAACGGCACACCACGTGCAAAATATGTGTTTACCGTGTGTGGTATTACCAACGATTATTGCGTGTGCAAGACGACAGTCATCCATCTAATAATAAACGAAAAATATAACAATGGACGTTTACCGCAAAATTGTGCACACCTTTTGTGCGCCCCTTCGGGAAACTCGTTCACACGTTGCCGGCAAACGATCGACATATTATTATTTATTTATTTGCAAACATTAATACCACTATTACGAATGTTATATTATTATATTTTATTTAAATATACACAATGCGACGGCAGAGCACAAGCCTCGAAACGGCAATCGATGCAACACAACCAACATTATTGTTTTAACTACAGTCTTGCCCGAGCGGTCTGCGGGGCGTCTCTTAACCCGTTCGCTTTTATTGTGTATTAACCTAACCATAATGTATATTACTGGACGAGTGACAGCTTAGCTGTTCAAATCAAAAACAACATCAGCAACAGCACGAGACTTCAGTCGGCGACACCGTAAAATATCACTAAATATAATCTTATGTCTTGTGACACGTCCCCGCATGTATTAAAAATGTAATTTAACTAACAAAAATAATAATTGTACTGTAAAAATTCAGCTATTGTACTGTAAAATTTGTGAAATATTAAATTTGAATTACTCAAAATGTCCCGGGATTTTTGAAACCACGTCTGTAGTTAGAATTATACAATAGCTTTTTACATATTGTTTATTTTTAAAAGGTCTTAATTAAAATGTTTGAATTTGGTGAAGTCGGGCTAACCGCTAAGGAGCCGCACTTTGCGGTATACTTGGCTTTGAGATTTTTCAGGAAGTGATAAAAACATAAAATATGAACACCGCCTCTATACTCTGGTCGTGCCACAAAAATACCGTACAATAAACCAGCGGGGGCGAAAAAAAAGTTTGTGTTACTGTCCGAATTTCCCCCCCCCCCATTTATGTCAAAAAAAAAAAAAACAACTATTAAACCTGTTAATATCTCAGCATCTACCTGCCTACCTCAATACAATAATACTGTTCGGTCTTCATTGATTTCACGATCAACAATATCGGCAAACGGAACACGGAGAGACATGTCCACAATAAACGTTTGGTTCATTTTTTATTTTTTTATTATTAAGATCAAACGGGATAATTTGCGGTGATCCACTAGCAATTACCTACTACCGAATGGCTCATACATAATATATAGCATTGTTCTATGATTGAATGAAACTAGAAAAATACTTATATTATTTTAAATACTTAAAATAAATAATAATATAATACTGTGTTTCTATTAAAAAATATGACTATAGTCTTACACATACAACAAAAAACCGGAAGACTGCCATATCCGTTTGATAAATTAGAATCAATCGAAAAAAAAGTTCAAGTAAATATTGAGTTTCATAACAGAAGTAAGTACCAATTCGTGTCTAATGAATGGTTCATTATGAACTATTAATTGTATTAAGAACTTTATATTTTCTAGATAGGTACACGCAATTTATTAAAAAATGTTTTATACAGTTAACATGTAAAATAAATTATTTAATCATGATATAACATGTGTTGACATCTGAAATAACATAGGTACCTAATACCCACACCAATATTTTGTTCACAACCGAGAACCACTAATGTTAGTTTGTGTTAACAATGTGTTGTGTACCTACACAATGTAGTGGACTCTGGACGAGAAATTTTATCTTTTAAACATAATATAACGTAGGTATACCTAATAGTTTAAACAACAGTTTTAATTTCTATAAGGTTATAAGAATATTTGCCCGTGTTTTCTTAGGGCACGCTCTAAACGGTGTCTAATAAATAGATATTTGTATGGCTTCAAAGGCGCTGTATTTGTCAAGAAAAACAGAAATAACAAAATAGGTACGTCCTACCACAATAATAATAAAAAAAATGGTCCAAAAAGATTTTACTACTTATACGGATTCTTGTCATATAAATGATATAGTACTGGTATAGACTTGCACACGGCACGTCTACCCAGCAGGACTCCTAGTAATAGCGAATGACCACATTACCATTTAATATTTACAGATACAATTAGCGGGTGCACCCTTAGCGATGAATACGAGCATCAGGTAGTCGTGCTATTTGTATTTTTTTTCCACATCGCTATATCTATTCTATTAGGGCAATTGTCAATATAAATGCGGTCTAGAACCGTTATACCAATATTTTGGTTTACACAAAAATCAATAGGTTTTCACTTGCATTCAGGAAAAACTGACAAAGCCTACCGCGTTTGATACCTTAAAAGTGAACCACACAAAAAAATAATCTTCAGAACACTTCACGATGTGAATTTCTTTACCAATGACATCTGACATTAGAGCATCTGAGCCTGTGCTTATATACATTTTTTTTTATGTTCCTTTTTTTTTTGCACGGTTTAGAAGTTATTAACGTTTATCAAGCTGTAAAATATTTTTAATGCAATTATAAATCAAAGTAATTAGATATCGATAGTAATCGATAGTAAACTCGAACCGTCTAGACGTATGTAATGTGCTTACTACAATTATTATCAAATACTGTTTTTCTTCGTATGTTCAAACTTACGACTAATAACTGTGTAACAATTCAATTTTAGACACAACTAATTCATAGTTTATATCGACCGGTGCCTCTATTAATATTTCCATTGGAGGTGGTAGTTGAAGAAAAATAAAAACACAATTTTTGGACCGTTATTATTTAAATGAAAAAAAATTGTACCTATTCGTTAAACTATAATAAAACTAAGTACATAATATACGAAAAAACTAATTAAAAATGAAAAAATCTTAAAGTGTATTATATATAGAAATACTTAAAATAATATAATAATAATTTTAAAAATTTGTAAAAAAATCGGTAATAAATTAAACTGTATTTGTAAAGAACGTATAGTGATATTGATAAACGAAGTACCGTTAATCGTTTAAAACCTATGCAAATATTAGAATAACCAACTTGCTAAACATTTATAATTTTTGAGTTGTACCACAAAATATAAAGAGGTGTGAAAAATACAATTTATGGTGCTAATAGGCACTTAAGGGACAGCCCTCATGGCCTGGGAAAATTTAATGGAAAAT